CGAGGTGACGGAGATGGCTGTGGAGCATCTGGAAGAGCTGCAGAGCGTCCGTCTGTCCGTCCGGGTGCCGCAGCTGAGCTCTCCTCCTCCCCTCTTTGGGGTCCTTTCCTTCCCCGGACACCACTTCCCCCAAACTTAGGGGACCTTGGGGACCTGTGCCCTTCGCCCGTAGCTGAGGGCGCCTGGCTGACGTTTGGAGTCCTGTGGAGAGGGACAGCAAGGTGGCCGGGCGGGCGGGCGGCCTGGGCGCCCCCGTGGTCCCTCACGAAGGACCCCAGACGCCGAGGCTGCCTTTCACGGGCACTGAAAATTCGGAAGAGGAGTGATTCCTGCCCGTCTCTTCTCCGCTCGGAAATCTCTTCTCCTTTCCAGCAAGGATCTCAGTTCTGCTTTTTTTTTTTTTATTTTCTCCTTCCTGTAAATACTTGACGTAAAGACACGTATGCACGTAGCGCACGCATCGTGGCGCCTGCGTGGCGCACAGGCGTCCCCCCCCAAATATTCGACGTCTGGGATAAGCTCATTAGATGGGCGAATTCCCTTGGTAGCTAAGCGATGGAGAGGGCCGCGGCCAGGCTGGCTCAGCCCAGCTCTCTTGGCCTCCAGCCTCAGAGCAGGCGAACCGGCGTCTCCATAGGAGTTGCCCGAGCTTGAGGGGCAAGTGTGGAGTCTCACCTGGCCGGCGATGAGAGGGCGCCCGCGCTGGACGTCTGCTTTCAGGCCAGGATCTCGGAGACTTTTGCAAGGGAGAACAAGTACCGTGGGTAGACTGAAACTCTGCTTCTGACCCGTGCTGTGGACCTCCCAGTCGGCGCCGACGTTTCTCCAGCAAGTGTTTTTAGCAGATACGAGGCAGACGCTCAAAGAAACTTGTCATGTTTCCTCCTAACGCTTCGCCACGGGTTGTTAGTGGGAGCTCCAGCGGCACGAGCAGAGGTGATAGGGTAGGTGCCTTGCAGGGGTGAAGGGTTTTTTTTGGTTTTTTATTTTAGCCACATACCATGGTTGGGCTCTGGGTGGCATTTGCCAGCAGGAGGAAAGATGACGGCGGCAGGGACACTGGAGCCATAGCTCCCAGCCGACGCAGCGGGCCCAGTGGGAGATGGGGATGCGGCAGGGCCCGCCCGC